TGGTTAATTAGTAATAATTAAGTATATAGACCGTAAATGGCTAACAGCTGATAACAGGATAAATGCGACAGTGCCTTTTATTGAAAAAATTAAGTGATTGGATATTATGTCATAATATTTACACCTTAAAGTGTAAATATTGTATAGTCAATTTTTACAATAATTTTCCCTTAAGAACCAAATATTATCGATACATGTCGCGAGAAGTACTAAGCTGTAAATCATTTTCTTTTTACAGAAAAATTGATCAACTGCAAACCATAATACTGTTTAACACAACACAATCAATATTTGCACTAAAGTAAACAAGATATTAGTTGAGGGTTTCGACCAATACAATTAATCAACAAACTGTTTTAAGTAGAAATTCCGTGCATCTCGTGAAAATGCACACGTTGGAATTTATATAGTTAGCTTATTATAATAAAAATGTCTACCCACGCAACATATAAGAATACACAGACAAGTCGTACAACAAATCTAAATAAATGGGGTAGAAGTGTATAATGTTATCATAGCATTTCTCGGGGACCACTTATTTTCTCTTTGGTATGAAAAACGTTACCCCTATGTATAAATTAGAGTCGAGTGTATTTTTTATTTTATTCAAATATATGTTTTGGCTGGTGAAAACATGAAGGTAAACTATATGTATAACTTGTTTCAAAAATTGTAAATCTTTTTTAAGTTTCTCGTTAAATTGTTTACAAAACTATTCATAATTTGACAGATAGTGCCAATTAAAAAAAAAGTATTGTTGTTTTTAAATTTGCACGGTTTTTTAGTGGAAAATTTTCGTTGACATTTTTAGACCCAATTATAAAATTATACAACATATTTTAAAAAATATAAACATTTTATTTATTCTTCATACGGGTAGACACTGCAATACTAATGTGTACGGTGCTTTGTGCTATTAGTAAACTAGATTGTTTTGTAGGGCCTATGTTAAACATGGGTAAATTACCCAACCGTAGAATCGCGCAACATAAAATGGTCACTTGAACGAATGTACAATTAAAAATATAATTTCAAATAATAAATATATATATATATATAATATATAATTATAAATATTCATCACGTACGTTAATAAAATTTGCAAACTTTGTCTCACGTGTAACTGAACGTGTAAACAATATAAATTGCCAAACGCTATTAGTTATATCTACAGCGTAGAACAACCGAGTTAAATGTCAATCGACCTTATAATATGTTTTATCGAATGAATTGCGCCCCCCCCCCTCCCGGCCAAGTAATAATTGCACCCGCGGGAGATTAATTGAAAACATATACGGCGCGTGTAGGAAGTGCTAACAAGGGATCATTTGTCTTGATAAGTTTTTTTTGAAAAACCTGAGTTACGACTTACGACCTCTGATCGATAACATTGACCGAGGACTAGACAGAACCCCGGAAAGGACCACCGACCAAGTGACGTTTTAAGATAAAGAAATAACCTTTAAATGATCTTATCTTGAATTTCCAAATTTTCAGGAAGGGAGTATTTTACAATAATATTGTATAAAGGATAAAACAGTGGCGGACGCTTTGCATCAAAGAGCCAAATATTCGCAAACGTTCATGCCGATGTACGATTTTGAATTTCTCAAATTACAGGTGGCACATACAAACGGAGCGCGACAATTCGGTTTGAACTGCTCATATGTTGTCCCTTATTTGTATTGCTAAGAACATTTTTATGTAAATTAATACGATTTGATTATTTTACTTTAGATTGTTCTTAGGTGTGTGCATTTGGTTTGACGCGAATGCTTTTAATGATAATAGTTTCTTCACACGAAAAACGTAATTTTATTTCACGATGGACTTAATTTATCTTTTTTTTTCTACATCAATATTCACAAGCCACACTGGCTAAAATGTTGCAGATTATAATTATTTGAAGGTCGTCACTTGTTATTAAATGAACAGCATGTCCGTTTTATTCCTGTAAGGCCCGCGGCAGGAAAAAGAACAAAATAATCGATTCGTCACGACACTTCTATTGTAGTCAAATTATCAGGTCTACAAATAATATTCAATGTATATGAATGGTACTGATTGCATGTTTTTTGTGCAGCAAATTCACATTATATGATTACTACATCTACAGAATCTGATCAATTGATAATCCTAGAAATATAGTTCCATTAAATGAGTGTTATGATTTTAGAATAGCTTTGAAAGCTGTTAAAATCGTATTTCAATGTCATGAATATACAGTGTTGTACAAACGGTGCAAAGTAATTTGTCTTAACCTAGTTTAAGTCAATTAAATTTAAAACAAAACAACTTGGTAAAGATAAAATGCGTTTTAAAAAATGTTAATAGTTAATAAGTTATTTAACTTAAAAGTTAGTCGTTAAATTACCGAAAAGAGTAGCTTTTAATTTCCGGATTACTACTGCTCAGATTTGAAATGTACAAGTACAGATAACTTAAATTGCGTTTTTGTTATAAAAATGGCGATGCTAAAAACGTACTCGCTTCACAAAAATAAAATGTTTACGATATTTTTTTAAAAATAAATTTTGTTTTTTTTATTCCGTCTAGGACAATGCCCGTCATACGATTTTTAAACGCTACAGAATTAGTTTTAATTAACAAATTCGGTATTATTCGACGGCGAAGACTGTTTTAGGCGTCAAAAACAACAACAATCGCGCGTTAACTTATAAATATAATGTATTATATGTTTTTTCTATTGATTTAAAATTCATCCAGTGAATTCAGCAAACTCGTTAGTATTGCTGTCGCAATGACGACTCGGTGTTCATAGTAATAAGATAATAGTCGTATACACGACTGACGACCGTTTTATATACACAATGCATAAATACAATATAAATATAATAATATTTTATATTATACTATTTATTTGTGTTGTACTACAAGTGCCTATTTATTTATTTACCTGCGGCCGATCGTCCATAAAATATTATTATGCGTTTAGTAAGTACGTTATAAAATATAAATATGTAATTTACAACTCGCATATGCTTCATAACAATGTGCAACTGAACAGATTAGGCGCCTAAGAAATTCATACGCGATAAGGTACATAGTTACCTAATAATAATATAATATATATTATATAGGTTAAACAAATATTATTATTATGATCCCGTGAGTTGATAACTGACTAATTGATAATATATTATTATGAGGTTATAAATGTTAAGACCACCCAGCACAAGTTTGTCCATGTCCTTGGTCCAAGTTTACATTGAAGACGATTATTGGCCATAAGGCATCATAATCCTTTATGACGAGAGTACATGTTCGCAAAATAGTGATTATATGCGTTTTGTTTTTTGCTATTAACTACAACTACTAACGAAACGAATTGATTATGTTTTTTAATGCGAATTATCGTATAATAGGTGTATATATTATGTTTAATTAGTGTAATAAAGATATTGTTGTACACAGTGATTACTGATTCGATAAGTCGATGCGCAGGAAGTTTATAAGGAAGTTTCTAAAATTGATTTGCCCTTTGATAAAGTAAAAAAAAAAATATTTACATATCAATAATACGGCTTATTAGTATGATGAAAAAAAAGCACATTTTACATAGGTCCATATTTTATTGGATTCTCTTATGATTTATCTGCGGTATATTTTCACTTTTAATACACCTTTATAAATTATTACATTTTTTTTTTTATTTTTAAAATTTTTATTTGAGCGCCTGTAACTTGTACAAAGTATAAAGTGTAGATAATAATTTACCATGCGTCATGCGGTTTTTGCGATAATAAGTAGCAAAAAAACCTAACTCAACATAATAATTTAATGTATACCTGCACAGTGCACATTACATTCGTCATCTCCCCTTAAATCGCTTTGTACCTTTTACCATTGAGTATATATTGTACAATATATACTCAATGCTATTACTAAACTTATAAACGCATAGGCAGAATTTGGCATTACCGAATAAAATATTATTAAATTGATTAGTTTTGTTTTAGATTTTATTCGTTATTTAATTCAATATTTGAAAAACACGAGTCAGTAGATATGCAATTGGCAACAGTATCTGTTAACGTAGAAACAACAACGTTTAGCAATTGAACAAAGCAAAATATCATTCCTGCGAAACTCAAATTTTGCGGTTCTATATAATTTAGATATCAACAGATTATAATCTATTTTAAATTGTTGTATAATTATGCAATAGTTATTCGGTTTATTCGGTTTATTAAATGGTTTATTCTAACAATAATAAGTGCAATTTTGAATTATTGCGATGTACACATGATTAAGTACATAAAAAAAACAACTAGAAATATAATAAACATTTTTGAGTATATATAATGAAGATTATTACAAATCGACTTTTATGACATGTTTGATGTTTGGGTATTTTTTTTTTTAATAAGCTAACTTCTGGTTACCGGGATAATACCTAATAATGATAAAAATACGATCCAAGGTTAAATTGTTCATAATATTATATTTTATATATTTTGATATCACATTAATCCGTGTTTTTGCAAAGTCATTAAATATATAAATTTTGACATAAGATCATAGATAACCATTAAAAATAGAAATTAAACTAATCAAATAGCTATGATATCATTGTTTTCAGTCACCATAACATCTTTTGATTAGAATACAAGTTGTTTATATAAAACAGTTAAACATTATATATATATATATATATATATATACATATTTAACATATAAGTATTTGGCACCGTTTGAAATTGTCTGTCCTTTATTAGATAGTTTAATCGTTTAATTTTGTTTGACATTAATAATTATATTTCTTGCAAATTATTTACTGGATAAAAAATATGCAGTATTTATATGATCTTCCTTAATAAATGGCTTATACCGAATTCATTTCCTCCACCAAGCCTTAAAAACAACCGTATGAGTCTGCCAGTTTAAAAAAAAAAATCGCCTCTATTGAATATTATCTATTGTTAGAAAATAATTTTTACTTTTATAGTAGGTATAACATTTTTTTTTTATAATTTCAGCACATCAGTCTTCGTTTGCTGAAGAGGATGATGATATTGCTGTGGTTAGGAGTTCTGTGTTTGGTTTGTGCACCGTTTTTCGGGTTTGGTCTTTATTGGGACGAAGAAACTGCAACATGCGTTCGTTATCGGAAGGCCAAAAAGCCGTTAGACGTGCTTTATGCATACATGTATTTCAGTTATGGTAAGTTGTTGACAATGATATTATATTGAACTTTAAAAAATTAAACATAGGTATTTTATTTGTTGCTGACGATTTATAAGTTATAAGCGGGACTCGTTGGATTTCGGAAAATTGTAATGTATATACCATTGATTATTGAATCTATAATATTATATTGACATTACCCTATCTCATCATCCACTATGTATCCAATCTTATTGATTTGTAATATTCGTGTACAGTTGAGTAGATCAAAGTGACTGATTCCGGTTAACGGGATGTCGGGGTCAACACTTTTAGTCTAGGTTCAAAATTCTGTCACTGGGGATTTCTCTCTTGGGTCTCTTCGGATATTTTGTTGTACTTGAGCTATATACCGCGTTAGTCTTACGAAATTAAATTTACTTATGTGTTATAGGTGTGTTTTTGTGTTTCGCAATTGCTTACACGAATTTGGCGGTGATGAAAGCTTTGTGTATGAAAGACAATACGCACAACAAACAAAATGTGTTGATGAGACGAGTTAGTCGAGGGTCATCTCTAACGTGCAATGCGGCCACAAGGGAAGAAAGAGCTTTCGGTTGGCTTATGTTTTTGCTGTGCATCGCGTTCGTCATATGCTGGATTCCACAAATGGTAATGAAATTGAAATTTTTTTGTAAAAACATTTATTCGACACCGTACATTAAATGTATTTTAGTTGGCAACAAATTTAAAAAGTTTACACCTCCCTTCTAAATTGACAAAAACAAATAATTTTTTTTTCTTAAAAAGTCGAATTTGTATTGATTAGTCATTACTCATTAGACATAGTATTATACATATATATACGTTGACAACCATCACTTTCAGTAATAATAACTCCCGTTAGACCGATGACCCCCCCCCCCCGCCCCACTATGCCCCTAATTTAATGTTCAATTTTGTTTTTGTTTTGCACAGATTTCGATACCGTTGTCAAGGTTCGCTTCGGACGAAAAAGCGAAACCGTTTTACATTGCGGCCGACCTGCTGATCGCTTTGCATTTTGCGCTCGATCCATATCTGTACGTACTTCAGCACTGGACGTTGATCAAGTCGATTTTTCCACGTCGCAAGAAAAAAACCAACGCTACCGGCAGTACAAGCGTAAGCCGCAGTAGCTCCATGAGAACCACGTACGAAGTATTCTCACAGCAGCCGCTTTGATATATAATACTATGTTCACTTGCGTGTTTGTTTGTGTGTGTGTTTTTTGGCATGATTTTATCTAGTTTGAATGTTTTTTTTCCTTATAAGTTTTGCCACTCTTACGGTTTACCTAAAGACGAGCCAGTGATTTAATGATCTTTCGATCTATAAACATTAGAAGTGTGTATAAGACAGACCGATCGATAGTTTGAACATTTATTTATTTTTTATATTATATGCCTATGAAAAATTCAACACATACTACTTAGCATATGTTTACATGCCGTTACCGCGTTTAGGTCCTATAATATAATAATATTATTATAATGTTATTACTATAATAACTATAATATTTATATAAACTACTGTTTACATAGTAAACATACTGTAATATAATTATTACTATATTATAGTGTTGTGCCTGACATTTGACGTACTTGACGGTGTTGTTTAGCGACCGGTGGACAGACGGAGAAATGAAAATTGGTGTACAGTAACTATTATATTAATATTATTATACCTAACATAAGTGAAGACAAAAAAAAAAAATTTCAAATTGCGGTATATTGTAACTAATAAAATGTTAAATTACACGTTTATACAGAGAAAAAGTACCTGCGTATTATAATTAAGTACATTTAAATAGGTTATTTAGGCAAATGTGTATGTAAAAAGTGCGCGGTATCGGTACTTTTAAATTAAATCATAAAACAACAATTTTGTTATATATTATAAAAAGCTATAATTTGTTTATTTTACCAAAAAATCGTTTTATTAAAAAAAGAAAACTAAAAAATTATAATTAAAAAAAAATTAATTTGTTTCAAATCTAAAAAAACACAAAATAAGTTTTAAATATAATGTATGTTTAAATTTTTTTTTGTATTGGTTGTATACACCATTACTAATATGCTGTGATATTAATAATATGCCTGCAGTTTAATTTTGAGATAAAAATAAATAACATAGGTAATAAAATAGATGTTTAGCGTTGAGGTAGTGTTTGTCAATCAGTTTATTGTTTTATTCTTTTGGAAACTTAACAGTGTTTGATGATGCAGTATATCATCAATATAGGTAGTACCTATATATTAATATGTAAAATTATACAGTGTAAATTTTATCACTAATCGAAAAAAACAACCATACAAGTATTTATGTGTAATTTGACGGAAGTACGTTTTCAAAATGATTCTTGGTCAGTATATTTGGTTAGTTGTACAGTTATGATAGTTTATTTATTATTGTGTTTATGTTCAACCATACTTTTATACCTATTTCATAATATGCTGCTCAATACTTCTCAAAATGTTTTTGCATGTGCTTTATAATATATTAGTGTTATTTAACGTTTGTACCGATTATTCCATTTCAATTATAATTTAATGTTAAGTTATTCCATCTAAGAAAACTTATAAGTGTAAATCAATGCACCTATTTGTCTATTGTTTTTATCTACACGTTTTATACGTGAACGACTATTATATTTTATTGATTTGAAAAAAATGTTGTTCATAATTATAATTGTAATAGACTCGTTTACACGACTAATTTATACTTTATTATAGTTTAATATTTAAGGAGAAATAGAATTGAGTTAAAAAACGTAATTAAATTATTTATTTTTATTTACATTATATTATTTTTTATAATTTCTTCTTTTTTTAAATAAAAAACATCTATTTATCCCAACCGAAATATTTATAAAATATTACATTGACTGATTGTTTCAACGTTTTGTGTTGGTATTCGACTAATGGGACAATAAAACAAAGTTTTTCTGTTTTGATTGTCCATGTGTCATCAATGAACAGACAACATTGTACCTATTAACAATAAATTAAATAGGTACGTTAAGTTGTTAAATGAAATGAGGAGTGTATAAAAGAACATTTTTATAAATTATATAAATATATTATAACTTATAAGTTTATTGATAAATAGCCGCCAATAATTGAAATAAAATCTCTGAAAAGAGATTTCGCTGAAAATATAATAGCAGATAATTCGAACAAAAATAATTTCAATTACATTTGTATTGGAATAAAATTATTTGAATAATTATTGATATATTAAAAAAAAAGAAATAATCACCAATTTGTTGTGTTTTTTTATACGCTAATTGACTAATTTAAAATGAAGAAATAAAAAAATTACTATATAACATTTTTTCCAATAAATGATTATCGGAATAATCCTTTGTGGTTTCAATCAAATAATGCTAAACTCTTGACTATAATTAAAATAAATAGGTATATGAAACAAAAATGTATTCAACACACAGCGAATCAAAATTGTAAAAGAACTGATTCGGTCCCCCGAGAGACGTCTGATGGAATTTACAAAGTGTAACGATACTTTAACACATTTAGTCGCTAGAAAACATTTTTTTTTTGATAAAGAATGTTAATAGAGATTAGATACGTCATACGGCGAATAGTTATTAAATATTTTTACGCATCACATTACTTAATAACTATACTGAATTGTATTACTTGAGAGTTTTAAAGCATGTCTAAACTGTATCTTGACTGTTGGCTGTTGCACATATATGTATTTTATTTTCCTTATTTTCTCTGTCTGATATTTTTACAGTTTTAGTGTGAAATTTTATATTGAGCCAGTATTTTTTTTTTGTCTTTAATATTATACTATTTCAACAGATATCTACAACTACATTTACATGTAATAGTAACTAGTAAGCGATTATAATTTTACAATATCATCTTATTTAAAAGTGCATGTAATATGTGCGTAGATTATTATCATTATTAATAATTTGTGCGTGTGTAGTTTCATTGTACATGCTATACTCGATACACAATGAATAAGTCCGTCTTTGATTTATCCCATTTATAATTATTCTATTATTTATTGTTTTTGGTTTAATTAACAATGTTTAAAATGTAAGTACATTTATCTAGATATATTTAAATTTTGATCAATATTTTTATCAACTTCAAAAACTTTTCTTTTTTTTAATAACATTAATGGACGCTTAGGTCTGAGCCAAATTAAATACATATAAAAACTAAAAAAAATTGTAATTTGTTTGAATTATTTCTAAGAAGTGGCCGGTTACCTATTTTGTCGCCTCTTCAATATCAGTCTACCTTTATCAAGAATTCAAATTACACTCTTGTTATACTTAAAACAAATTTGTAACGATAATATAAAATTATTTGCTTTTTCATGATATCTAAAACTTAAGAAAATCAATATACAATTTGTTATTAAACGATACATTTTTTTACACTTACCAAATGTTAAACAATAAAATACAGAAATGGTTTTAATTTTGTTAGATAGTCAACAAATTTTGAATGATTATTACCATTACTAAAGTCTTAAAGTAGGGCAACAAAAGATGAGGTTCCTTTGATTTCGTTTAATGCAATCCCATATTCAGCCCTGTTTAATTTTCACCTAATCATAATCTTTCAAGCTTTGTATACGAAATTTCTTTTATTGGCCTTAATATTTTCAAAAATCCTAACAGTTGCCTAATAAAATATAATTATTGTAATATATAAACTATTTGTACAGTAATAAGTAATAGCATTTTACCTTGATAGTCTCATACTTTCATAAATTCATAAATAATCCATTATTTATGTGTATTGATTATTAATCAAAACTAAAAAAATGTTAACTAATAGAAAACATTAAAATGATTAAAAACAATATTAATCCAATGTCAGGCTTAAAATAATTTTTTTTATCATTATGATGTAACTCATTAAATTAAACTGGAATATTGGTTTTGTTCGAATATAACTAAATAACGTAGTAACTGTCTATGTATGTATATTTTTAGATTATTTTCCTGCATATTTTGGTCAAATTGGTTATTCGAGTAAGAATTACAATCAAGTTGAAAGTCACCAATAACGCGAAGTCACCATTCAAGTATAATTTATTTCTGTGATATATTTATTGCATTAAAAGTTGTAATTTTTTAATGTATTTTTATAGTTTTGTTTTCTATTACCTAGTATTGTAGAAGTTATTAGTCTATTATATAATTGAAAAAAATAAAATTTAATTCTAAAACAAATACCTTTTCATGTTATAAAAATGACTTCACTAAACTGCATTTAATTCAGTTCAATGGTATATTACCATTCTCTTACATATCTCTAAAATAGACTAAACATATTTTAAATAACATGTATGGCTTAAATATTTAAGATTCTAACCGCACTCATGTTTTCATTACTATATGCACTATATGAATACTCTAAAATTCATTAAAACACACTTGAAAATTTTTTTTTTCTGGACAATTTTTGAACTTCTCTTTTACTATTATAATGTTGTAGGGATATTATATTATATGGGTTTTCTACTTTTGCATGTTATAAAGTAAATATAAATTATGTCTTATTGGAAAACTTGGCGTTAGGCACAATTTTAGAATTAATTGTTTAAAGAGTTCAATTTATCGTAACTGAATTTTTTTACTGTAAAACTGCTTTCATAGGAATAAACTAGAAATTCAAGCCATTTTTGTAGTTTACAAGTGTAGTCATATTTATAAAGTTCTGTCTCATTTTACTAATAAATCGATTACGAAAAACAGAAGTCTTTACGTTGGGTCTGGGAAGTTATTATGGGTGGACTGAAAAGTGTGGCCATAATAAGTTTTTTTTATAACAAAAATGCAATTAATTTTTTTTAAAATTTCTCTTTAATGTCATAAAAAAAAAAAATATTTTAAGCCAATGCAGGTACATAGTAACCACAATCCCTAAGGACTTGGTTATATGGCTCGACTGCTTTCTTTACCTTCTTGGTCGCTTCACGAGTCAATTTCTAAAAATAAAAATAAAAGAATGCATAAATATTATATAATAGTTATCAAGTAATTGGGTACAACAAAATCAAAACTAACATGTCTGATCTTCAATCGTTTAGCGCGCTTAGCTTCACGCTCTAAACGCCTTGCTTCATAGTCCTTAACGACATGTTGGTATTTCCATCCGACTTCATGCGACAAACGGCCAACATCACAATATTTACGTCCGCGTTGCAGACTCAACATACGCATTGCTAAGGGCACTACCATGGTCTTTTGAGAAGTGTAACGAGCTGGAATATCTTCATATGCCTTCATACGTCGTAAAGCTTGTGCTCCACGAGTTGTCTTATGAGGGATCATACCTATAAATTTTAATTTTGCATACAATTAAAACCAATTATTTTTAAGAAATTAATAGGGAACAACCAAACTGATATTTTAAACATTGAATATATATATACACATGCTAAAATAACTTCTCATAAAACATAAAAAATATTTTCATTAATTAAATTCAACTAATGTAGGTAAGGTATTTGTTTTTAATCATAGAAGGGTCATATATTACATATTATCTATAACACCTAATTAACGAGTAAGTTTGTATTTAAAAAAAATAAATAAATAAAAACATTGCAATAGTGTTTTTGTATCATAATTACAATGACTTTTCAAATTGAGCATGTTTGAATAATTATTTGATTTACTTCTAGACATATTGACAATATAAAATCCTCTTTTCATAACAAATAAATTGTTTCATTATTTGAATCAAATAATGTAGGTAAGGTTATTTTAAAATATAATCACAAAAGAGTATTAAGCTGTTTTACGTGTGCAATACGATTACAACCAGTCATACATAGATAGACCACACTATTGTTTGTTAGACAGCGTTATTTGGAAACTGACTATAAATTAAACCATACATTTGTCAACATCTAAACATTGCTAAACAAAATATATAACGCGTCCTATTTATGTACAACTAAATTTACATTTTAACAAAATGTCAAAAATAGCTTCTATTCGTTTTATTATTATGTTTAGAACTAAATACATTTTTAAGACAATAAAACAAACCTCTAACGGTTCTTCTGAATATACATCTAGGTGCACGATGATGGAAAGGACCGCGAGCCGGGTTTACATTACACCTCTTACGTAAGAAAGACAAATACTTGATTTTATTCCTGGAAATAAAAAAATGTTTTATGTAAAATACTTAAATTTTATTTATTTAAAATTTTTATGTAAATTTGTTACCTGTAAAAACTTCCAGCAATATTAATTTTGTCGCAGTTAAATACAACAACTTTATTTCCTTCCAAGATTGCTTTGGCAACGTATGAAGCCAATTTTCCAAGCAAATGATCTTTAGCATCAATGTAAATGCGCTGAAATAATATAACAAAGTACAAATGAGATAAATAAAAATACCTTAAATTATAAATTGAGAACACGTTTAAATTAAGAACACATTGATACGGCCCTTCTCATAAATTAATGATATTTTCATTTAACAAGTTCAAGTAATGTAAGTAAGGTATTTATTTTTAATCATAGAAAGGCCACTAATAGTTACAATATAACATATTATATTTATAATAATCACAATAATGCACAAAAGCTGTATTACTGAAACGTGTTTGTGTAATAGTCATAACACACAGTATATATAAACCTACAATGATAAGTATTAAATCAGTATAAGTGATCTTGAGTTTAATTCTACCCTATGTTAGTTGTGATAGCAAATATGAGGTTACGTCACACAGACCGATGAATATTAGTGACAATAACAAATTAGTACCATTTGAGCAAACGTACATAGGTTTTTGTAATTATCTTTTTTTTATTAAATAAGAAATATTAGACTTATTAATGACAATAGTACTATTTGTTTCTTATTTATATTCGATTTCTGGAAATCAAAATCTCATAGCTACCTAGTTACTAAGCAATTGGTACATCATATACGTAATAATAACAAAAATTCTCTTTTCATAATAAGTAAGTTGTTTCATACTATAATATATCAAATAATGTAGGTAAGGTAAATGTATTATTAATCATAAAAGAGTATAAAAGGCAATGCCAAAGCAGACAAACTTAAAAACATAAAATCCAAAGATAACCTCAAAACGAATATTTTTTCAATATTTTTATAATAATGTAGTTAAACTAAGTTTCCTATTGTTATAACATAACAGATTACGTACCTTATTAAATAAACCGTGCTTTGGAGCCATTTTGGCCGGATTAACAAACTAGAAAGAATAAAATTGAATAAAAACCTAACAGAAATGTGTGGAAATAATTTAACACGACGAAAACACACGGTGAAGAGACGGTATAGTATCTTGGTATGTAGTTGATGTGTGTCGGACAACGTGCCGAGGTAGGGAGCAGCATGGAAGAAAAAGTGTAAACAGAAAATGCGCATGGAAGAAAATAAAAAATGTTCACTTTGTAAAATATTCATATTATTTTTACATTAATTTTTATTTGTAATTAAATAACATATTAACCAATATCAATAATATGCTAAACAATCATAAATTATTAAAAAGTCATGTTTTATCTGCATTATGCTAGTATAATAGCACATGATTGAACTTATTGTTCGAATATTATTATTTAACTGAATACACACATTGAGCTTAGTTAGTCAATAATCGGCAGGCCATTCTATGAAAACCCTAGATTTTATATAATAAACTTTTGAAATCAGAACTGTGTAATTAGGACCAATGAGGTTTTTCATTGATAAAACAAAAGAAAAGCACTGTAGTTGAAATTTGACCATGGTTGATTACGTCGTTCACCGCAAGAACATTATTAGGCAGGAAATACGTTACATTCGTAATTATAGTAATTAAATTTAATTATGATCATTAATGACCAATAGTCATTATTGATTATTTAATTAAACCCATACCTTTTATAAATGCGTTGTAAAGTAGGCAATGTTTAAACATTCATAACAGTACGGACCAAAATAATTGTATAATACATAAAGTTTTTTTTCAAAAATGCCCCATTTAATATGTTTTTTTTATAATATTTTATAATGACTAATAAGCGAACACTATTAAATTATAAATTCTTACCAAATTGTTAACAAAACGCTAACCTACCTAATAAATCTTTTTAACAGAAGAGTTCTCAGGATTAGTCAACCCAAACACATGATTTAGGTCGACAAGAAAACCACGTGGTATAAATTTGTTAAAATAAAAAATTGGTTTTAAAAACAGCTAAATTGTGCATAATTTATAAGAATGGAAATCAAGATTCATTAAAAATATGTGTTCAGGTTAGGTTAGGTTAGATGAATCATTTTCGATCGCGTAAACGCAAAGAATAATACAATATACTTATCATTTCTGTTATTAGTATTCCTACAGTCCGCATTGGTCTTAGATTATTGATTATAATATTATCAAAAACACTTTTACAAAATATTTTAATAATTGGTTGTGGACCCACTTTCAAACTTTTATTACAGCGCATAGAAATTGAGTTTTGAAAATAGAAATCCAACACCTACAAACTATAAGAAGATTTACTTAAAAAAAAAAAAAAGATGAAAATCCGATTATTCGGTAAGGCATAAGCTGTAAGGTATATTTTTGAGCAAATATATAAGCACCGACACGGGACGCCTTAAATGAAAAACTTGAAAAAACAAACATAAGAGAAAAATCTGAATTGTTCAAATAATAAAATACCTAAGTCAAGAAAACAATTTTTAGGCCAATTCGGGATTTTTCGAACGGGTTTACAAGCTTCCTGAGTTTTCGATAATACTTAGGCCGTCTCGATTCTCGAATGTATCAGTTAAATAGAACAACGTACTATTTTGATATTTGTCATACTTCTATTTTCTGTACCTTGCATAATAAGGTTTACACAAAAGATGTTGTTATAATTGTAAGCGTAATGAGTATAATTGGTTCGATAAAAACTGAGGGGCTAAATAAATATATAAGGCTTATTATACTAGATAATATGAGACCACATGTTAAAAATGTCACGTTAGTGTTTACTATTTATTTTAGTAACTCAGTTTGTATCGTCGCTATTCGTTTATTAACTATTGTCTATTAGGTTAGGTAAGGTTTACTTTTAAATTATCCTCTAAGACTTGTTTTTAGTTTTACTTATGGGTACGTGCGGTCGAGAATGTCTCATTATAATGAGACTATAGTAAGAAAACTGTATTTTGAGATATGACTAGATTTGTGCTATTGGGAATTTACGAATTTGAAAGTCCACGACTCCAGTGCTTAAGTTGAAAATATGTCATTTTCAAAATTCAAACTCCATACTATCAATCGTTATTATTAAAAATAAAGTTCCTTATTAATTATTATTTAATATTTTTCATTTTATTTGTTAATGGTCTCAACTCTCATACCATTTATGTACACAGTGTTAACATATTATGTTATAAGTACTTACCGAAAATTTTTTCTGATCGACAGGAGTGCTATTATTTTAGGTAGAGGCCTACACAACAAACACATTAATTATAAGACTGATACCTAATAATAGCTTTGAAGCAAAGTTAAATTAAAAAACAACTAGAAATTTAAAATGATGTCACAGTCGATACCGTGTAAATGTTATGACTTATAAATATTAGAAGTGTTTTTCAAAACATAAAAACAGTGTACTGTTAGAAATAGAAACATTGTACAAAAATAGAGCCTGCATGTATTAAAAAAGGTTAAGGGGAACGGAAAGCGTAATTTTTTATATAAATAAAGACTTAACCCCGGAGTTACTTTTTGAAGTGCCTCCTGAACCGATTTAAATAATTTTTTTTTGTCTAGTTTAACATCTTCTCTATGGGGATTAAAAGGCCGATTTTTTATTTTTGTTTTCAAAAAATATTTGTAAGCATTTTTATTTTTTTGTAGTTTTTTCCTAATACATCTAACTACTTTTTTAATCGCTAAATCAAAAATCGGCCTTTTAGAAAAAAATAGTAAGCTATACATAAAAAAAACGTGAAATCTGTCCAATAGATAAGCCAGAAAATGTCTTCTACGAAAGTCACTTTTTATCAAACTTTCGTCATAATTCGGAGAAAAATAACTTTTTAAGTATTATAACTAGAAAATTGTAATATGTGTTCGCCTTGAAATTAGTAGACATATGAAAAATGGCTATTAGTTCAATTTTTGGCAAAAATTGCCTATCATTTGCCCCTTAATAAATAGCGCTTTCCTTAAATAGAAAATTAAACAATAAATACCTGTACTGTATCTTTCTTGTATATATAAGAGTTAATATATATATGAGTTTATATATACTTAATATATGAGTTAACAAATTTTAACGTTTACAATTTTTTTTATCGATATTTAATATTTGTACCATCTACACATTTGCATCAAAACGTTTATTTGAAAGTGAATTTTTTATTTTTAGTTATAATAATAATTGTTAAAAACCTGTGACTACCCGATCCTAATATGCTCAGTCCCCACTATACCCTGACCCCACTGTACTAGATTGTTTTCAATTGTTTATATAAAAAAAAAAGGAACACCAAAAGAGGAGGTTTTCTTTAACCTTCGTGGATCTACAACCGATTATATTATAATTTGTTCTACCTTGTAGGAAATATTAATAAGGAATATACATATTTAATAAATCGGTATTTAGATTGCAGATATATATATATATATATATCATGCAATTTGTGACAAGCGAGAGTGTTTTTAGACACTTATCTTGATTTATATAAGGGTATTGACATGGTTTAAAAAGGAAAAAACTGTTATATATTCAGCACTCCCATTTTTCGTGTAGTACGTATTTAACGATGCCATACACTCTTATCTTTAGCTGAATGCCTTTAAATAATTTGTATTGATCATTTTTTTTTTTTAAAGCAATTTGTTAGTAAAACCAAATTAGATATTCAAATTTATGTTATAACTCATATTATTGTAAAGTTTTGCAGGGGTTTAAAAGTCAGGGTTCTGTACCTAATAAATAACAATTAACAATAATAATTTTTTTGAAACTCATTATGACATTTTTAATTTAGAAATTATAATTTCGTGAGCTATCTATAAATGATTTGTTTTACTAAAATTATGTTTTTTCTTTGTTGTGGCTGTTAGATTACAGGACGTTAAGCTTGTATGAATGAAGAAGGCAAACGTAATTGGTGATTGTTGACTAATGATTTATAGGTAGATACTAATAGCTATATATTAAATACTAAAGATAATATATATAATAATTAATACTATAATAACACAGCTAACATTTTCAATCGACCCTACCCTCCTGAAAAACCGCAAATTATTTTACTAACCTATTGCCAGTTACTTGTCTCTATTTTCTCGACTAATATATGTATTACATTGCAGTACGTTTATTTATAACATATAATTATTTTCGTTTACAAATTTAATCATTTAAATCATCATTGTAACGACAATAAATATTATTTATAATTAATACATTTTAAACCTAAATACAGTAACAATAATTATCTAAAATAATAAATTAACATAATATAGTTAATAATAATTTATTTAAAAGGATAGAGATTCTTTTTGGTCAATAATAGGTAACTGCGTCGTCACTGCGTAGCTGAATGTATGTAGATGAACTCTAGAGTTTAGTCTGAAAAATTATTTTTAAAAACCTGTATGAAACAATATTGTTTGTTGTATTCAAATTTAAACGGTCGGTAGTTTACCCGCAAACTCTTAAGGAATACTGTGTACGGGGGTTGTGTCGTCTGGGCTTGCAGGTGAGTCTTTCTCGTTTAAATATTTGGTCCGATTTGTTCCGGCTTCTTGTAAATGCATTTTCTCAGGGTCTTTTGGCCGGGCTTCGTCGTTTTCCAACATGAATAATACACCAAAGTTCAATTGTCTAATGTCATAATATATAGACAGCGTAAGCATCACGCACACCAGACCCACAACCAGATACCCTATAAAAAATACATTCGTTAGACAATGAATAATTAACGTTAACTAATTAATTAAAAACACTCAACCTACCAGTTATCATAAGCTTGTAGAAGGGTCTATACTTTTGGTCGGGCGCGTCGCCTGGGATGTAGTCGCCTAGACCGATTGTAGTGAGCGATATGAAGCAATAGTATAAAGAGTCCATATAGTTCCACTCGGGTTCTACGTATGTGAAAATTGCTGCGGGCAACAAAAGGAACAGAAATATCAATGTGGTCAGTATTGTGGCAAAATGTAGTAATCGAATAGTAAACGGCGGGTAAAGATGTCCGAGGCGGCTGTTGAGAAAGTGTAAGTACTTAGTAGTGGGTATCATCAATCGATCGACTAACGCTGTCAACAGTACTAATGTCAGAGGGATACCAAATAAGGCATAAAGCATGCAAAATAGTTTGCCCTCCTGCGACAACGGAGTGACATGGCCGTAACCTGAAAAATACAAATCTCGTCAACAACATTATGAAGTTACACCCACACAGCAATAGTATAATTTAGAATTATATAATATTTTACAATAATTGTTATAATATTTGTATTTAATATCGTAAGAATGTTTTCTAAATCTTATTTCGTCAAGTAATCAAATATAAATAACAGAAATATTTTTGCTGAGTGGGTTGATACAAAATGTCAGAGCCATTGATTATATTAACTCTTACCTATGGTTGTAATCACGGTACATGCAAAGAACAGTGATTGTCCAAAACTCCAATTAGGTTCTCCCGAGACGTTGTTGGCTGCCGAAACACCTCTGTTGCTGGCAGCGAGTACTTCTTTGATAAAAATCTCCATCGATTCGTCTAAAAATTAAAACGGTTTCTTTTTAACGTAACATTATCATTCTGTTATAAATAATATAAATTGTAAGTATTGGTTTATGTACAAAGTAAATGTTGAGTATAACTATGAGAGCTATATGACGATAATAATATTAGTTATAGTTATATATGGATTTTGTTGAAGTGGATGTTCAAACGACTAAAAAATTAATATTTTTCAACGTCTTAGAAAAATTTAAATAAAAAAAAAAAAAAGAAGAAGACGGCTAACGTCCCTCTTCTCTTGACCACATTTGTGTATTCAACCGTGCTGTAGCGTTGACATCCGTCTTAGAAACGTTATAGACTTAAAAATAACCGAACTCGATGTTAAATTTAATGGCTTAAAATTTAAAACAGACGTATAATTTGATATTAAAATGCTGATTGTTAAATTTACATAAACGTAATTCGAATTGGAGCGGATGACTAAACGCATCTTGCGGTTGCGCTAAATGCAAATGTTCGTTTTGGAATACGAAAAGCTTAAAAGCTTCGGTTGTGTACCATCCCGATTCGATTATTCTCACATCAAGAGGATTTGGCGTAGCCTGAAATCCAGCAGACAAGGCCACGGCGCACAGACTTAATGGCCACATCAACTTTAACTCAAAACAAACTCGCGCACAACAAAACTAATCACATTTAATGTGTCCGAACAAGCCCCGACAATGTGTCCGAGGTAGTTTAATTCGTAATCAGAAACCGTACTCGGCAAGGTCGAATGATAATTTTTTTGTCACGACCAAGACACGAGCGTCATATTATAGTTGTTCAAAAATCATGATTGGCATAAAAAAGTTGTATTTTTGCTGAACTAAATCCACGCTATGTAAAATCCCACTAAACATATATAAAAAACAAACTATTTGGAAAATCACTGTTTTTGTGTAATTAGGTAATTAAAAAATAACATTTTTTTTTGGGGTCATATTGCATAAAAATATAATTATTTTACAAATACACAACATAAATCACAGATCCATAGGTCAATTTTATCACGAAAAACCCCTAATTACCCGAGTGGGTTGGGTTTGTTCAAAAAAACCCGGAGTTTTCGCCAACTCTGGCAAAAATACGGACGAATGAGATCTAAAAACAAAAAGCACTCATAAAGTTATAAACACTGGGTAGAAACAAGTTTTTTGAGCGTTGCCGACAGAGAAGTATTTAAGATGTATTGTGTTAGTCAGACGTGCGAGCGACAGCAGTGACTTTTGACGCGCCCTAAAACGTTACGAGTCATCTGCAAATAACTACAAGTGACAATTGTGGATAATACTTTTAACGTTATTAATGAACAATGCACGAAGATGGATTACCCTCTTGAGAAACACGAATGCCGGCAGCCGGATAGTAGGTACACTGTACATCAGTAGCTCGTGATTGTGCACTGCTCCGTGAACTTTGGCAAAGTGTTAACGATCGTTTAAAATGAGCCGAATCGATGGTTTGCCACGCCGGAATGTTAATGTTTATTTTTTAAAGATTTTCGACAAAATGTTGTAATCAATCCGATAAAATAAGCTATTGTTACCATACTGTTGTAAACGCCCTTTGTTCGGAGTAATAAAAAAAAATCCGACCGTTTGAAACGTCAGTCTTTTTTTTTTAACTCTGTCAAAAACCTTCGACTGCTACGTATTTTGAACCATCAAAATATTATTACATATCTTCGCAAAAATCGCAAAAAAAAAAAAATAACTTTATGACAAAACCACATTTTTTTTAAAATTAAGTTTATTGGTAGACATTAATATAGTTAATAAATACCGGGTTTTTTTTTGCAGTAAAAGCTACAGGCCTGTAATCGACAACTGAAACTTTAATATACTATTCAAAGCTCTCAAATACATTTCCGTAGTCCATTGATTTTTTTTTACAACTGAACATGGATATTTATAGCTCTTTTATAAGTATGCAAACAATCACATGATACTTATTATCAAATATTTTATTCTTATGGGCTTACACAACTTACTTTTTATGGATGTGTTGTTCGAGAATTTTTTTTTTTTAATCGTCTGTTGTCTTGATCGGGAGTATTGATCAAGTGTATTAATTTAGGTAAACAAATTAAATATGCTGATTTACAGCTGTTGAAAAAATATAATGTGTAGATGTCCTATTTTTCATTTTGGTCATATAATTGAACATACTTCATAAACCCAATGTAACCGAATAAAACATTATAAACAATTAATTGTACCATAATCTCAATCATTTAGACGAAGACACTAGCATGTTTAATTGGCTTTTATTCAGCATATATACTTAATGCTTATTGATTTCGCTTATTAGTGAAACATATTAAATATTAATTGCATTTCTACACATCATCATATTTTCTAGTTATATTATGATTAGTTTTACTTATTAAACGACAATTATTCTTTTGTTTGTAAATGATGTAAAGTTAATACTTGTTTCCTTTTTTTTAATCTCTAAATTGTGTTAAGTGTAGGAATTTAGATATAATTCATAGTGCATAGTATTTTTAAGCAGTATTTATAATCTGTGTACAAAAATAATACTAGGTACATTTTATGTTTAAAGAAGCACAGTTATTAGAAAAAATAAAAAGACTGACAGAAGATAGTTTTTAAAAATATGCAATTAAAAAAGGTATACCAGATCATGAAAAGTAAGATTAAATTAACTTGTTGTTGTCATATTTAAAAAAGTCAGAATAATTGCATAGTAGTTTTCATTTTATTACTGAAACAATCGGTTATTGTTTATGTCCGATAAATACTAAACAGAAATGTCTTGAATTTTTAGTTCACTATTTTTAATAATCTCATTAAGACTTGTTCATGAATCAAAAGTGTTAAGTACGATACTTACATATAAACCGACAGGAAATTAACAAAACAAAATGTTATTAAAACTAATTTAGGAAATATTTAAATATAAAATAGTAATCATATTATAATACTAGTTACTAGTTACGACATACTCAATAATACGATTTTACAAAAATACTAATATTTTAACAGAAATGAACCGAATTTATCAAATTTCTGGTTCATTATTTGTTTTGTTTATTATGTCATACAGTTTTTCCGATTTGGCCGGACATCGGCAATCCTTCAATTTAGTTTATCATACCAGTTGAATGCATAATCCATTATCATTAGAATAGAAATTCAACAATGACCATTTGATCGATTGATTTACACATCACTGATACATTCTGTCAACCATGAAATATACATAGGGATAGGTTTATCTGTTGGTTCAATATAATACCTAATAGTATCCTAACACGGTATAATATAACACGAAAATGATTTATCTATACTGCGCTGTTGCCCAGAGATTAAACACCAAAAGGAAATAAAACAACAATTTTAATGTTCTACAAAAATTGTATAGAGTGTTTTAGTATTTATGTATATTACACTATTATATGTCGTACTACGAGTAATTTCTATGTGATAACTGAATTAGAATTTTTATAAGGATTTATTTTTTTTAAAAAAAATCTGTTTTAGGATAAAAAATGACCACGTAAAACCTGGTAAATAGTTTAGCGAAATTTTAATAGATTTTTTTTAAATTTATTGGATTTTTAAATTGCAGAAAACATTTATACTAGTTTATATTATCTCATCATAGGTTTTTCGGAATATCGATGATAAACATTACTATAAAACTTACCATTCTATATTACCTTTCTAGTGTTGATTCGAAAGTCTAAACTAAAATTGATTCGATACCATTTCTTAACTTCAATATTTTAACATACTGAGTTATACTGGTCGATTTGTCCACTGACAGTGAAATATTTCCAGTGATTGTTTTTCTTTCGGAAAGAATAATAGACAAGAAAAGAAGAAGAAGCCAGCGGTACGAAGAAACATATACATTGATTGAAATACATCAGTTTGATCAAAATAAAATATAAAGAACTGTTGTTAAGTAACATTTTAATACAAAAGATTCAATATAAGCGAATAATTTATTTATGGTTGTTATGGTATTTCAGGAATAATTTAACATAATTATTTCATTACATCGCTTACAACTGTCAAATGTTTGTTAACCATCATGTTGATGTTATTTTAAACTTAAAAAAATCAGACTTCATTAAATCGCAAAAAATTATACAGTTAAATCCTCCTAAATTGTTTAAATTGAAACCAAGTCAAGTCAAAATGAGAAAATAAATATTAAAATAAATTAAAATTTACATTTGAAAATAATTTTATTAAATAATTTCGAACAAGCAAAAACCGTCTTTTCAAGTTGTAAAAAAAAAAAAAATTGGCATTCCGAGATTAAAATGAGTCCTGTTGTATTTAACGATATCTTAGTCGACCTTTTTACTAACCATCTATAGTTGAATAGATTTTAAATGATTATTTAAAAAGTTTTAGCAACTTAATATTGTAGGCTGGACAGGTTTGCGGTGTAATATAACGTTTATCTTTAGTCATTCGACCGCGTTACACGTAAACTTCATTTAAACTTTAAAATGTTTATATCTCGAGAAGTTATAATTGTCAATTCTCTTATACACTCGTACTAAATAACCCCTTTAGCTGTTTAAGTATTTATCATAAACATTTAGTTTCGCCATAGTGGTTATTTATAGGTAGTCATTTTAATTTAAAGAACAGCGCGCATTCCCCAAGACCCAACTGCTAGTTTAGAATTTAATTTGTAAATATTTTTTTTTACATAAAAAAAAACCCCGTTTAGATCGCAGAGTAGACAAATAAGTTTTTTCCTAGGAAAAATGTATGGAATAATATTTTTAAATATTTACGGCTTCGAAACATTATTAAAAGTGTATTATTACAGGAAATTCTAACTATCATAAGAGGTCTATCAAATGTCGTTTATAATATACAACTAAATTCATTATAATTACATACTAATTTCTAAAAACGTATTGTATATTGATGTTAAAAAAAGGCAATCATATTAAAAAGGTTAAAGGTCAGATAACTTCAGGGAGAATGACCTACGTTTATTATAGAGATGATGAAAAGTTCGAAAGAAAAAAATCCCTTGGAGCAATACATATGTTTATTTTAAATATTTAAGATTTGAGTATTATTATTATGCATTATTTTATTTTGTAAAATGCTTAATATACTCGCCATCGTATACTCGCAAACTGCATAATTTTAATTAGCGTGTTGATGATTAATCAAATATAAACATGTTATTTAAAAGGTTAATGTTATATTAAAAATGTTCTCAAACACATATTTTAACAAACAGTTTGGCTAAAAATATCTATATAAAATAATACTTATTCGAAGTAAGCTGAATTTAAAAGATAAAAGCAATACATAGCGTTCAATTTTTTTTTTAAATTTCCTTGGGGAGGAAACAGCTCTAGGGACTGTGGAAAAAGGACGGGTTAGGATTTCTGTTTGAACTCTGTTGTGCTGAGCATATATCATTGAAAAATGTGGTCAATGCTCTAGGGGAAATGCTGCAAGTGGAAATAAGATATGATCAATGGTCATAGTTAGGAACGTTGGTTTAAAAATTGATTGGCTATTTTTGGTTTAACTTCTAAATGTCGACTTAGGTAGGCATTAAAAATAACTTTCGGCTTGTAAAATATCAATTATTATTGGACAATACAATGGTACACATTACTGATTACACTTACATTAAAAGGACCTTGTCGATTGATTTGAAACAAAACATTTGTAAATTAGTTAAAACTTCTTTGGGATTATGTTATTGAATTATGTACGCATAAAATATCCTAATAACAGGTAAATTAATTTATATTGTTCATTATAATTATGTAAACAAAATATTTGACATAAAAACAAATCTTATTTTATTTCTATAATGATTATTGCAGCTTGTCGAATTTGCTATAATTTGTTTTTAAATGTTAAGTTTATCTTTGTGTATTTATAATTTCACTAGGTCTTCTTCTTCTTTATCTAACTCATACAAATGGGAGTTGACCAGCCCAATTTTCTTCCTCCACAAATCCCTATTCATCGCTATTTCTTTATTCATTACACACAACGACATTATCACACTTAAGCTTTTTTTCCGTTTTACCTCTGCAACTTAATCCCAACACAATTAAACTATCTTACCAGTTGTACTACTTAATTTTCCTCACGTCATTTTAACATTCTCAACCCAACTCCTAATTTATTCTCTCTCATTTATACTGCTATTGACGTCAATTTGAAACTTTATCTTGTGCCGTCTAACCAAGTCCTCCTCACGTTAACTTCTATTTTCCTTTGATCGCTGTTAATCAACGCCTTTCACTCTAAAATTTTCCAACGTTATTTTTGGTCTCACCAAATAGGTTCATACGACTTTAGGTTCACTCAAAACGGCTCTACTTTGATTGGATAAAAGAAAAATATATTATATGAATCGCTATTTGTATATGCTTTTTTTTTTATATAATACGGGAGTCGTACGGAACTTACGGTTGAGATTTGGATTTTTGCGAATGAATTCCATTTTTGATAATTTCAAATGCCTAATTAAATCGTCTTCGTGTGGCTGTTCAAATCGTGCGAACACCGCAGCTCCTGCTGCTATAAAAACCATGTATAAAATAACGTAATTTACACAAAAAAACGTGCTTCTTCTTAGGCCACACACGTAAATCGTGGTTTTATTATTTTCTTTAAGCGTCAACTGCGGAACGGTCATGTCTGGACTTTCGAAAGATTCAGTCGGTTCGGTGCGGGTGTTGTAATAATGTTCGAATACGCCACGAAAAAAAAACGCAATTATTTACACGAGAAAATTTTTTTTGTTTTTTGTGACGACCGCCATCGTAGGTGATGTCGTTAACTCGGTATACGCACACCGAATAGCCATAATATAATATTAGCCGAACCGTATACAGAGGATGTTGTTTGTCGAATGAATTCAATTATAAGCGAAATTCTCAGCTTGGCAAAACGGATTTATTGTCAGCAGATAGCGAATGACCGTTTAGTATATTATTGTCATAGACTAAATAATAGTAATATTTAATCTATAATATTATGCAAGATGCACATAGCATTTAAAAAAAACTTATAGAAACGGCGTCAGTACATTAATTATTATAATTAGGACTTGGAACGGCTGTTGACGAATAATATTAAAAAGTAATATTTTAACAGCGTTAGAACAGTTTTAACTACCGTATAAAAGTTATTGGAAAATAGTTCTTATGAAAGTATACAAAAACCAATTAGGTATTATAGAAATTTTTGAATAGAAGTTAAAATTTTACAGAAACCCTTACAACTTTAAAAATGAAAACCACATAAGTTTATAATAAATAAAAGTTTTTTACAGAAACTTTTGTAAAATAAAATTTAAAAATATATCTTTTGTGAAATAAATGCTAGCTGTTGAATTCAAGTATATTATTTATAACGCCATCGTTCATGTCCAGGGGGTTTAGAATTTCATGAAATTAATTTTTGTGAAATATTTCCAAACGATTAAAAATAAAATTTAAACGAGTTCTATACACGACCACGATCACGGTCCATGACGATTTTTACCAATTAGTAACACTAAAAAAAGATAACAATTTAAGTATAAACTTGTATTTCACAATTAATTTTTTATATAATTTCATTGGAAATTCAAAGATTAAAATTGAACACCAAAATTAAGTGGTATAACTAAGATTACCGATTAACATTAAAATATAACATCGTATAATTTAATTGTTAATTTTTTAGTATTTTTAAAATGATTGTAAATCTATAAATCACAATTGATAATGTGCGTTGCAATTATCAATTATAAGTTATCCAATTACAGTTAAGTGTAAGAATAAAATTGCAATATTTCCTTTCTAATAAAATGTTAAAAATTTGAAATTTCACACAAAATATTTCATAATAATATCCAGTACTAGATATGTTCGAATAATATGCCAAATTCTGTAAAAATTCGTTAGTTTCTGACTTTCGTATGCAATATATAACTCAATTTCTCAAAGAGCTCATATCACACCTGTGCATCAATATGATCTCTTTAGGCCCAGAAAATAAATGAAATGAGATAATTTTCAGTGAAACTCCTATAATTATCCTATATAAGTATAACACTAAAAGAAGACGGTATTTAACATGCTTGTACTCTTCATTGATGACTTCAATTGTTTCCTACACATTTTTAAAATACAAAAATTAGGAAATCCTTTACTCCGACGTCGTTAAGGGTGCAGTATCAAACTTTACAAATACCCTTAACTTTGGTCCGTGAAAGTTTCATACAAGTTGTCAAAGTTTTCCAACATTCCTATCTCGTATTGCCGAATTTAGGATTTTATAATGAATTTTTTAGTATTTTAATGGTGCAGTGCCTTTCAATACATTGCCTTTAGTTGCTGTTATTAATCGCGTAGGTGTATATTTCTTAAGAACTGTCATGCTAAGTGTAAAACAAATACATATTATAATCATATTGTATTATATTCTAATGTAACGGCTGACAATGTGGGTTGAAAGAAAAAAAACATCAGCCGAGTGAAAGGTGTAAAATAGTCTAACTAAAAACTTGGATATTATTACAGTACTTAATGGAAGAATTTGAAGGCAGTTTATCTAATAAAAAATAGCCCTGAAAATTGTACTTTTGCGACTCACTTGCAGCCATAATATTTTAGAGTGGTATAAGATATACTACACTCATCATCATACTACCACACCGGACCTGAGGCAATACGACCCCGTTGGGAAATTTTTGATATCTCAACCGACCTTAATGTATTGTTGTTACCATAGTTCTAGATGGTTTATTGAAAAAAATGTTTTGATTATTTATTATTACATTTCAAATTCAAGACTATTCTAAAACGTAGTTGTAAAACTAATTTTTTTTGCTAACATTTTTTTTTTATATTTAAAAAATATAAATATGTTTGTGAGTTGTACGGGTATTATTTTGAATGGGGTTCTTCGAATTTCATGTCACGAATAAAATTATGGAAATGTAGTATATTTAAATAACCTTGTAGATACATATCATCATATGTAATGTGTATTATACAGTATACAGCCTGTCTACTCTTTGTAAGCAAAAAGGTAGTAGCCATGTTTAAAAAAGTATACTTTTCAAAAAGTCGGCTTAATTCGAAAAGTTTTAATATTTTAATGCGAAACGTTAAAAGGGATACTCAAAATTAATCTAGACTTAATGCTACCCGCTAATTTTAATACTCTCAAACGAACTTTACGCACAAAATGTTTCAATAAACTGTAAAGATTTTTGCGAGATCCGTTCAATAAACCAAATTTACGGTTTTACAATAATGTAATTTCCATTGAAAATTATTGAAATCTATACGTTAGGCTATTTCTATTTTTATTATTATAGAAATACTGCGTTTGATAATATTCTATTTTCTTGCACTTGACTATTGTAGTATGAGAAGTTTGTCAATAGATTATGTTTTAACATTGCATACAATTGTACGAATTAAATAAGATTGGATTTAGACTGTAAATAAATGCACGGTTTTATAATATGCACAAGACGTGAGCGGATAAGGGAATGTTTCTTTTATGTTAAATTACTATTTTAAAGTACAAATTTGTTATTTTGGTTAAACAAGTATATTTAAATTTACTTTAGTTTTAATTGTTTTGGAGTTTTTAATTACAAAATTTAATAGGAAGCCACGGACTCTATCTAGATAGTGTATTTTCTTCAGAATTTCGGACCACGTTATTAGTCCTTTTAATTAAGAACTTTTATACGATGCAAATAATTTTTTTTGGTTTCGACTAGATGAGCAACTTAAAAATAATATTTAAAATTTTACTAAAACTAAAATATGGCACGACCACGGTCAGTGATGTCTGCGTAACCCTTATTAATCTGACTTGACATATTGTGTGGGTTTTGATAGAAGCCATCATTTTAAAGGGTGACAAGTCTCAGCTGTTTGACTGTGACAAATGACCTCAATCCATAATGTACATATATTTATTTTGCTTAAGCATTTGTTGTGTAAACTAGAAAATATTTATATATATATTTATTGTTTTTTTTTTTGCTTCTAATGGCAACAGATGATGTTATTGAGATTTTGTTTACTGTAACGTTTCTAGTCGAGAAAGTAACTATATTTTTAATTGCAAAAATTGTATGTATATATAAAAAAAATCAAAAAAAGGAGAAGAAGCATTATTAAAGACGCTTAAAATATGGCTTCTATTAAAATGATTTTACCCCCTCAGCCTCATTATTTGTCTGGATATTCCGGTTTTGTATCAGGGTATAAATTTCATCACGGCCGAAGCTATGGTGGACTGACTCACGATTTGTTTATGGATCCGGACATCAAACGATCCAAAATACCAGTTTTAAGTGACTTATCTAAAGAGCAGAGTATACGGCCGACTCCAGAAGATGAGGCGATAATAAAGAAAAGATGTAATTTTAGAGAGTGTAAATACAGTGTCGGTTTAATACCAGGTTACGACGGACATGTACCATGTCAAAAAGAGTTTTGTGGCAAAAAGTAAGAAAAATATAAATTATAATATAATTTAACGATCGAGCGTTAATTTTTATAAAAACTCGTCTTATACAATACAATTAAATGTATTAATATTTGTTAAACATCTTTGTTACTTAATAGTTAATTACAGAGATCTAAATCGAATTAAAAATAACATCCAAGATCTAAAATCAGAACCATAAAAAAAATCATATAAATTTATAAATTACTTATTTATAAATAGTAAAATAAAATAGCTGAACAATTATTATTACCCAAACCGGAATCTTGCACTATTATTTTATGCGAATTAGGACCAGAACCGAATAACTTAAACGCTCTAACTTGTGGACTTATGTAGTTATAATAAATACATACATATTTATTAGTGTAAGACCCAACGTCTAATGAATGTACTGTAATTCGTGCGTAAAAGGTATTCAGTGGAAACGGCTATGGGTATATCTATGTTCGAACAAATGAAAAGACCTTGCTCGTGTTCAGAATGTAGTAAAAGACAGCAAGTAGCGACCAACTCGCTCGATCGATTCGAAAATATCAACGACTACAGTTTTCCGTTCAAAAAGGTTTACTGATTAGATATATTTTGTCGTTGTTCATAAGTATTGAATTAACAGTTATGTTTAATATCTATTCTGTTATATTAATCCAAATAACCGAATTTTATGCCATAAATCGCGTGATGCAAATTTTCAATCGCGAAAAACAAAATACGTGTTACGGCTCTGTTATCACTAGTAATAAGGGATCGCTGATAGCCGTGTAGATTTTAAGTGTCGATAATTTCAATAGATTTTGTTCATACTTAAAAACACAGATTAAAATCATTATCATGTGTTGATGTTTTTCGCGAGGGGAACCGTAACATCATCTAAATGGAGATCAATACAACGGTTAATTGTAAACCTCCCCTAAAAAATTACAGACAAAAATAACTTAATTCGACAATATATTAATTATTGACAGCACAACCGTACTTGTACAGGTGCCCGGTGGCGTAGAAAAATTCAAAGAGATGTACGAATCACATTTGCCTATGCCACCGAGCGGTTCGCCTTATTTCATAGATAACTCGAATCCACATAAGAAATTCATGCCGGGATACGGAGGACACGTGCCAGACCTGTCCGTCTTTCACGGGCTTTCATATTCGAACGCTACAAACAGCGCCTTGAAGTCGTTTACGACGCGCTATCTAAAACGGAAAGCTATTGATCAATCGTCGAGCTTGGCTGCTGCTACAGAGCCAGTTGAAGAGCCGAATAACCAGAGAATACCGTACGAACAAGGCATGATCAAAAACTATGCGGGCCACATTCCTGGTTATAAATTCAACGTGGGCCAAACATTCGGCGACGGGTCGAAAAACGCACGAAA